CGCGCGAAGCCCTCACCATACAGGATTTTAGAAAGAACGCAAAGTACTAGCGTGCGAACTTACCACAGTGTGGATTTTAGAAAGTGTACAAAGATTTCATGTGCACACTTACCATAACATGGATTTAAAAATACCGTTCTAAGGGGCCCTCGTGGCACTCTGAAAGAGCAGCTCATAGATGGATATGGTGCATCCCAAAAACACTATGTTTTGAGAAGTCATCAACTCGAGCTTAGGTATAATGCTGGAGTGGCTAGCAGTAAATCTCTAGCTGAGGGAGCAAACACCCAGCTCTCAATCGAGAGGGGGCTCGACCTACAGCATGTTCCAATGCTGGAACAGCTAGCAGTAATTTACTTAGCTGAGGGAGCACAACACCCAGCTCTCAACGAGAGGGGGCTCGACCTAAAGCATGATCGTTAGAAATCAGAAGGGTAAGCGTACTGCAAGCTAGCCAAAAACTCAGCGCATCAGAGAGGCGGAGGAAGGGCCTAGTTCGCTTGATGCTGCTGGTTCCAGGTGCTTTGGAAAAACAGAGAACTCAACTCTCACGTGAGAGGAGAACTCCGAATTCAGAAAGGAGTAGCGTGCTCATAGGTAACCCTTTGATAAAAGGGGAGCACTGCTCAGACTCCATTCAAAATACAGTGCCGTGCAGAGTCTGGAGACAGATCTCTGCTTGCTTGCAGTGCAAGGGTAAATAAAGTACTGTTGTTTGAATAAGTATAGTGTTTTCTTTACTCAAGAAACATTATGTCTATAAAGACTAATGTTTTTTTGTGTGTTTGAAGAGTGGAGAAGAGTCTTAGCATTTACAGTCTAGGTGTAGCTAATATATTGTTTTATATATCCTGTACATAGCGCTTCATCTCTTATATCATGAGATTTTGACCAAATGTATTCAACAACTAAAAAACTGACTGCCCATATAGCTACAATAAACTTTATAACTTGGAAGTTGATGAAAATGTAATGCGATGCACTTACTGCCTCAGATGCAGCCGTATATGACGGACAAAACGTCTCCGGTTACCTAACGTAACCTCGGCTCCCTGACAGGAGGGAGATGTCGTCGAAGATGTCGAGAATTCACCCGCCAATGGCGTTCAAGCGTGTGAAATAGAGGCAGGCGTGAAATAAGGTGGCGCTGTACGCCATTGCCTCAGAATCTTTGGACTGAAGCAGAGTGCAGCTGACAAAGACTGAGCTATGTAACATGGCAACGTACGCAGTGTCTCTCAGGGAACTGAAGTCACATTAGGTAACCGGAGACGTTCCCTCTCGAGTCGGTCTCTCGACACTACGTCATCGAAGGTGTCGCTTTGGGGATCTGATAAAATCCTGCTGTGTTGATAGCGAAGGTCCAGATCAGCTGCAAGCAAAGCCGTTGACCTCAGCTAAATGTACTTCACTCAACGGAAGACCTCACAAGCTCAGTGGCATAGCAGCTATAAGAGCAAGTTGCACAAGCATTAGACTACTGCAAACACATCACAGAGTAAAGGACAGCGGTCCCGCCTGCATACTGGATTAACCATGCACTCACTGCCAGCATTCATGCGACGGCACTATCGCCAAGCAATGTTTACCCCGGGATATGTGACATCCACGGTGTGAGCACCGTACCGTCACAGTGTGCTGGTGGCCAAATAATGCATGCGGCAGCAACACATTATTGCATAATGTTGCAACCGGTGACAAGTCTGACCGTGCGATTAATGGTGGTGGTCGTGCCAATACCTAGTAATGATAGGTATTCCCACAATTTCAGTTCAAGTTGTAGACATAATTGTCTTGCAAAGGCAAACTCGCGATGCTAGTGAGGAAACATTCAATCACAGAACTGACTAAAGTGCCCAGCACAAGTTGATCACGTAGAAGGGCGAGAGGTGATCAGCCTTCTTGTGCCACTCAAAATTCTTATTGACAGGACATTCTGCCGGGCGACTATAATAAATATGATGGAGTCATGCCGTTATAGCGGTATAACAAACTTAAAACAAGGAGGGCATACAGTCGCTGTCCAAGTACTCCAGCAAAAAGTCAAGGCAACTAACGGGCTACCTGATCATAAAGTAGATATATTCAGGCCCACATATATAATCCAGTCCCCTGGCCAAACCTGGACGAGGGCCTGTCTCAATGCACTAACTTGAATGCACGTTTCAATATATATATTATGACTTAACGCACTGCATAGCAAAATGATCCGGACGCAAAGGCCATTACAGTTCCTGTCGCCCATAATGAGCGGAGGAAGTGAGAACAGACATAAGAGAGCTGACAGTCTCGCTATCGTCACCTTATGAGTGAGAGCAAAGCAAAGCACTCTCTCCAAAGCCACAGCCATCAGCCTGAGTGCTTCCTGGGAGCTCTTAAAGGTAGAAACTTCTCGGCTCGAAATGAACAGAAGTATAAGTTACCAACTGTGAGCACCCCTGTGAAATGCGAGCTTGCATCACAACAAAGCCCAGTTGCACTCTCTGGGTGGTTGAGAAGCAGAAGTCTGTGATGGTTTAATACAATCCCTGAATGGAATATAATCAGTCAATTGTCCAGATCCATTCAGCGCGCAAGCTCCACTCATTTAGAGGGGAGAGAGCCGCATAATCCGCATTTGAACATTTCATGAATGTACACATTCAAGCAATGCTGGACTATTGAAAAGGTAATAATAAGCAACAAGCGTATTGGTGCATACAACATTAAACCAAATCTTACGAGTGACATATATTCACAGCATCCAGCATTAATCTGCGGGAAGAACCAAGTTCATATAAGCACAAAAACAGGGCAGATTGCTACAATTGTAGTGCCTGAATACTACTGAAATAATAGAACACAGAAAGCGGTGTCATGAAGGCATCAGTTTTGCATATGCAGTAGCTATTACTGTGAGTAATGGCACTGCACATCGGCCTATACAACCTAGTTGAAACACGTGCCAGAGAGAGGCGTGGCCACGAAATCTCTCAGTCATTCAATGGCTGCTCAGCAGTCTTCCCCTGCACAGACAGAACATGCGGTGTGAAAAAGGGGAATTTTCAGGTTATAAAACCTAGCCAAAGCGTTTTGCGAGGACCAACCCACCGCAAAACAAATATCCCGTATAGACATGCCTTAGTTCAAGTCCAAGATGAAGCCAGACTCCATGTGGAGTGGAGACGAATCTAATCGGGCAGTCAACTCTATGAAGCAACATCAGAAACACTCGTGATGCTCTGAACATAGAGGCAGAGCATCACGAGTGCCCGCCTCTATTTCACGTGCTTGAACGCCATTGGCGGGCGAATTCTTGTCCACGAGATTTCACAAGGCTTCAGTAGATTCCCCAATCTACTAGATAACCCCAAAGTGTCATCTTCGATGATATAGTGTCGAAAGACCAACTCGAGAGGGAACACATATTGCCATCAGTTGCTGGTCAAAAACCTTGCAACTCCATTTGAGCTTGATTTTACATAAAATGCTAATATTATAATGGCACATGCAAGTGTCTGATCATATATAAAGCCACAATACCAACTCTAACGATTCAGCATTTATATTATCAAAAAAAAGGAAATGTTTTTAGTTTTACATTTCCTGAAAGTGGTAGTGGTTTTGGACATACAAGGTTTCCACCCAATAGCGAAGATATATAAATTTGTTGTTTTATCATCACCAACAACATAAAGCTACCTGACCTTGTGTTCATACCTGACTTAAGCTCAAGTTTCACATTAAATATGAGTACTACTTTTAACATAATATCCAGTTTTAATATGCTATTTGAAGCAATGCATATTTGTGCAACTTTGCTATAATTCAGTGCTTAGTGGTGAGCCGTGGGATTTTTTTACTTATCAAAACTGTGCCGTGGCTAAAAAAAGGTTGGGAAACACCACCTTAGAATTATCTCAAATACACCACTCACAAGTCTGATGCAATCAGCCCAAGAACAAGGAACAGAACAAACAGCCAGAGGACCTGACGGGAAGAAAAAAGAAGAGGGAAGGAAAGAGAAAACGTGAGAGGTTAAAGTCCATACAACATACAACATACAAAACCAAGGAGTTAATAAAATGCACAACCAATATAAAATCAGATTACACAGCCTGGATGATGCATTATCATTAGTTTCAGTTGCATATGTAAACAGAAATATCACGCTCCACAAATAAATTTACACAACACTCAATACTCTGATATGCAAACAGTTTAAAAAGTAAACTGTGAGTTTGGTAACTGAGCTAAATGTGTCCTTACATAGAGTGTGATGGCTAGGGGCAGCAGATTAGGTGGGAACAGGCAAAAGGTGACCACAGGGTATTTGATGAACCCTTCATCTGAAGCACAGTCCGGTGTATTTTTCACAAACTCACATCTCTGACTGGCAGACAGGTTCATCACCACATCACACTGCAACACAGACCAACAAATGCGGCTGTGAAGGATTCACTGCCAACAGTTAGACAGCACCACATAGATCGATTTTATAGTTTACTCATGGTCATGGTAAGGAAAAAGAGAGCAAATGTATTTGTCACATTAATGAGTCATGACTCATTATTGTGCACACTCAGTAACTTCCTATACATCAGAACACTGAATGAATGGAGTGTAGTGATTTGAGTCATAAGCGATCACGACTGACAGGACAGGTAATCTAAGCATTGCGTGATCACATATTTCAGTTTCGTCCAACTCACCTCGTCTCCATTGCGGTTCGGTGTACCTTCTGCAGGTCTGTCTGAACGCCAAACATTCCTATGAGGGACGAGGTGTGTGTTTGACTGGTAAACAGTTTTCTGGCAGCTGACACGATCCCATTGCAGAGCAACGGTGCAAAACAACACTAAGAGAAGAGCACGCATTTGGGCTGATTCTGCTTCAACATTGCTTTTCAAAGTTCATCACTAGTAGCTGAATTGTGGTAGATCGACGGCAACTTTAGAGGTTCCGTTGCGCTCTTTTCCTTCATTGTTGATAAACTCCATGTATTTAGACGCTGTGAATCACAATCTGTGGTTTGACCTAAATCACGCAGGATTACGCATTCTGTCACGAGTGAGACGACTTAATGAGAAGCGTGTCAGCCTGTCAGGTCATTCCAATACTTCCTATACAAACAGCGTGATGAGCTTTGTTATCCGCCCTCCCTCTGTCCTGAGGTTAAAGAGACATTTCACTCTTTTCAACTTAAAGGGGTCATATGAAGTTGCTAAAAAGAACATTATTTGATGTATTTGGTGCAATGCAATGTGTTTATGTGTTTTAAGGTTCAAAAAACACATTATTTTCCACATACTGTACATTATTGTTGCTCCTCTACGCCCCGTCTTTCTGAAACGCATCACCATTTCGGTGCGTTATGCAAATCTTCCTACACAGTGATGTAGACATGTGGGGGCGAGTTTAAACAAGGCGTTTTAGGAAGGCATGGACGAGTCTTAACTTTTATAAAGAATATCTCTTTGGGTTTGAGACTTTAGTCTTTGCAACTTTAGGGATCTTATCTATTCACGAACAGCTTGTAACACTCCAAAGAGAAAGAAAAACTTGAAATCGCATCATATGACCCCTTTAAAGGGATAAGGTTAGTTCATCCAAAAACGAAAATTCCGAAATCATTCACTTTCCCTCATGTCGTTTCAAAACCAAGACTTTCGTTCGTTTTCGAAACGGAGCCCCTGGGACATGGTGATGGAAATACCTCATGTGAGGAGTTATTTTTTTAATTATCTCGCAAAACTGTTGCATTCTCAGAGAATCTTTGCGTTACTTAAAAAATACGAATATAAATTTGTGAATATTACGTTTTTGTGCGTAAAAAGTGCCTGTAAACAAACATGCCTGCTCTCACCCACACATACACATATACAACATAAACACACAAATATGAAAGCATATGTTACACACATTTAAACACAAATATGAAAGCATGTGTTTTACACACACACACACACACACACACACACACAAGCACACAGTGAGATACAAACACAGTACACACACACAAGCAGGCACATCATAGATAAACTACACAGTGCATTGTACTTCTGTGGAAGCAGGGGCGTGTCTACGTGGTGGCCAGGGGTGGCACCGGCCCCCCCTGAAATTTGGCTGGCCACCCCAGGTGCCACCCCCCACCAGATGGCTTGCGAAAGGCTCGCGCGAGGACGAATCTCTTCAGGTGCCCCCCCTACCAGATGTCTTGCGAAAGGCTCGCGCGAGGACGAATCTCTTCAGGTGCCCCCCCTACCAGATGTCTTGCGAAAGGCTCGCGCGAGGACGAATCTCTCCAGGTGCCCCCCCTACCAGATGTCTTGCGATAGGCTCGCGTGAGGACGAATCTCTCCACTCTCACTTGTTTAGTGAGTGTACACGATGTATTGACTCATGTATAAATTATTTACAACCAAAAAAAGGGAATATGAGCTGACCATATAATACAGACAGCTGCTGTACATACATTTGTTGGCATCGGGATGAATATATTAAATTAACATGATGCCCATAGTAATGTTAAGCAACATATTTTATTATTACAGCTATAGTTATATACTGTAGTTAACGACATGAACATACTGATGTTTTGGTGTATTTGGTGTAAAAATTTTAGACGAATAAAATGAAATAAATGGAGTCAAAAGGACTATGCTGCTATGTTTCACCCAGTACTAGCATTTAGCTGCATGTGATATAAATGTGAGTGAAGCAGAAAGCTGATATCTGTGTGTAAAATTATTCAAAGTGTTGTATCAAGAGCAAACAAGGGCTAAAGGCATTAATCAGAAACTGTATCAGGCAACAGATCAGTCATAAAGAGACTGCCTCGTTCCTCTTCCTCTCTGGCTTATGCTGTCTCCTCAAAGTAATACAACTCTTTCTCAAAATTCCTAAAACCCATATGTCCAGAATTCCTCAAGATCTATAACTGGACTGTAGCTGCAGTGATAAGCTGGGTGATGGATTGATTGGGGCCTTAGATTTCAGGGTTATTGAAATGTTAGCACATAGTGTTCCCTCAGCTCTGCCACATTACCTGTATTATGTTATCTTGCTAATATATGGACATTTTTCTGGATTTCAAACATTCTCCTATATTTAAATAAGGCTCAACTGTTTGAAATATTTACACCAAATGAAAAACCTCATCCATAAGCCATTAACATTATGCCCTTGAGCATGACACCTAAAACCAGGTTACTCCAAGAGGATTCATCACTTTGAATACAAGTGTCTGATAAAAGACTACATACTCTGCTTGAAACACAACATGCAAGAGGATGCTTAGGCTTATAATGAAGATAAATACTCTAAAGCATTTGCTGAATAAAAGAAAGGAAGCAAACTTAATTTGCTTCCTTCGCTTTTGAATGCCTCTAACCCACATCTCATAAAACACATCCATATAGTCATTAATATATATATATATATATATACAAAATGTCTTATAAACTTTTGTAAAAATTAAGAATTACTTTGGTGTGTAAGCTCAAAAAACATACCAAAGTTCAACAAAAAGAGGACTTTGCACACATAATGGTAGAAGATTTCTCACAATTTGTTTTGTAAGAAATCTTCTACGATTATGTGGGTGAACTCATCTCTTTGTTTAACTCATAAAATTTTGTAAAAATGTATACTGTCATCTTTAAACACATCCAGAAATTATATAGCATGTGTAACAGGTCAGAAACATCTCACCTTTAAGAAAATCTGGGTAACAGGACAGACCAGGAGCTGCCTCTGTACTGAAAGATGGTTTTGATAGCATTCTGTGATGGCTCAGCGAAACCCTTTAACTCTTTATGGAATTACAGTCCAGTGCAGACCAATGAGACTTCATGCTTTTGAAAGCCAATATTACCCCTCCCAACCTCACTCATATAAATAACCCTTGCTTTCAAGATTGTTTTTCTTATTTTATTGCTTATTTACTTTACTCAGTGTCCTAATGAGTTACTGCACTCTGAAAAGCATAAATCACTATAGGAGACAAAACATTCAACCAAAAACACACATCTACTTAAACAATCAAAATGAATAACAGTCTGTATTAGTGGGTCAGTATCATTTTGATATAGTAGGGTAAATATATTTTATTTCATTAATTAATTTTTTTTTTTTTTTTTTCTCAGAGCACACTGACAATGTTTTGGTTAGAAAACAATGACAGAATTTTGGTCCTGTATAATGTAAACGTATAATTAAAATTATGATTTGAACAATTTTGAAGTAAAAGTAATTTAAAAGATTTAAATATGTAAGGAATGAATGATAAACAGGCAGTTTGGTGTAGGATCTTTCATGAAGAAAAAAAAAATATATAAAAATTGTCAACACCGGAACCACATTCTGAACAGTTTATATCCAATTGTTTTTCACAACAGTTAAGTGTTTGGAGTTCACAGAGCAAAAGTAAATCATTCCTACATATCTAGAATTTACAGAATTTGTCATGTACACAATGAATCTGTATTAACTGCAACTGCTGTTGTCTTACAGGTCCATATGCTAATATATTCTACTCCTTCCATCTATAAGCAATATATTTTAAACACCACTGCAGTGCAGCAATTGCATAAAATTCATGACATGAGCCAAAAACATACTAGTCATCCTCAGGAGAAACTCTATCCATCAAGCCTGCCTGACCTTTCATTTAGTAGACCAGCTTCTTATTCCAAGGGGGAAGAGGATGGTGTCAAAGCTGGCATCAACATGTTTAATTAAATTAAATTAAATTATTAATTATAACATGTGTTTGCATGAGTGTGTGTGTGGTGGGTTTGATGTTAGCTGTGTCTCTATGAATGATCCCAATTTGAGACCCCAATTGGTGCTGCCAGTCCAACCCTGATAGAAACAATCCTGAAATAGTTAAGACATGACGTCAAACCAATTTTACCCATTGACGCTTCCATATTAAATCCTTCAGCCCCAGCTATAGAGCTCAGAGAAACATATAGAGACACAAACTTAGATGGTGTGAAGTATATAATACATTTTTGACAAGCTACTTTTGGCCGTTTAGATACTGTACATGAAAGTAGCATCTTGACTAGAGCAAAAATCGAATTCCTGAATAAATAAGAATATTCGTGTTGTGCTCATTCCTTCAAAAACCAATACCAGCAGTTGTGTCAAATGCTACAGCCTTCATCAAAAAAAAAAAAAAACATGTTCCAGCATAACAAATACATGTACCTCATATTTACAGTGATGAAAAGAATTACTTCTGTAACTGCAGAAACACCAACATTCATCGGACTTCAGCACTATTAATCTTTAATAGAAATAATAGCTCAATCTGTAATCGAGAAAAGTGCCCGATTGCATAAACTTACAAGTTACCCATCAAATGTTTTTTTTTAAGACTGGTCATAACTTTTTTAATCAGTTACCTGAATTCTAGATTGGTCTAATTTGAATTTGAAAAGTAAAACAGATTACCCCTACGTTAATTGCTAGTTGGTCAGACTACTTCTTTAGACAAAGTCTTAACATAGTGGCTGTATTAAAGCAACTGGCCCCCGGTTTGTTTCATCAGCTGTTCGATCAGAGACATGACCCTTCTCATTTGCAATGACTGAATGCGTGAGCAACCAGATCCCCCAAACATGCAGATTCTTGTAAAAGAAGATGAGACAATATATACTTTTTTGTACACTCTTTCTTTAGCTCAGCTCAGCTATTAGGCAGGTTGACAGATGTTCTGATATGACCACAAATGTTTCTTAGTGCCGAATCTTGCCATGAGACAACATGACATTTCAACAAATGTCACAAACCTAACCCTCAAGGAACAACTGTAGCAATATTTCAACATTTATTTAAAGCAATTAAATGATACCTAAATATGGGTAAAAACTACCACCTCTGAACTGTAGCACAGGAAATGTGCATGCTGATTATCAGACAGGTGCTATCAAACAAGAAGGTCACTGCTTCCTTCTAACATTTTAGGAAGTAATTTATTAATTTTCCATCAAAGTATTTGACCTGAAACATTTGGTCTTAATTCCTATCATATTTAGTAATCAAAAATTATTACATACCCCAAATAGTGTTGGGTATGTAGGGATTTCATATACAGGACACAGATATGCCACTGAATCACCATCAGTGAGCCC